TTGCTTGGGTGGGCAGGACTGAGTGCCAACTTACATTTCAGCTTTGTTGCTTGGGTGGGCAGGACTGAGTGCCAACTTACATTTCAGCTTTGTTGCTTGGGTGGGCCGGACCGAGTGCAAAATTACATTTCAGCTTTGTTGCTTGGGTGGGCCGAACCGAGTGATAACTTACGTTTCATGTGTTTCATCGTGCACCGGGAGTAGTGAGAGATGTCGCCGAAGATTCGGTAGCAGTGGCGGAATCGACACAGCGTGCACTTGTTCGCTACGAAGTCGCAGTCGTCTGAAACAGCGCGTGATTGCAGTGAGATTAGTATGTCTCGGCAGGCAGCAAGGCATGCCAAAGAGAGAGAGAGAGAGAGACGCGTTCACCTAGGAGAAGCAGTGCTTTGTCGATCCACAGAGGTAATTTAAAGAGGATAGAGCTACATGGGATTTTATTCCACAGAGTAGAATTTTTATTCGCGAAAATAGGATCGGAGCAGGCCACTGTCAATTTCCGATTCCTAACATGTCTGACGGCACTCGATCGCGGAATATTTCTGCCTCGCACATGACAGTGACGTTACAATAGAAAACCAGAGTCAGTGTCGCTATATAAACTAGTTCAGGCAATCTCACTGCAAAGCATTTGCACACTAACACTTTCGTTGATCGACGTTCTTGGACAGGCAAAAAACAGCTTGTGAATTTTTATCATTTAATCAGTGTCGGAAATAACATGCCACCCTCAGTCTAGGATTCGTAAATCTTGAGCACTTCTGACCAGGACTGGCTAATTTGTGAAGATTTTACTATAAGTTACATCGTGGAAATCAAAACTTTCAAAATCGGAAATTGGCTGGCCTGACGGATTCATCTCCATGACTGATTGCATTCACCATCTGCAGCATTTTACGAGCTGCGCGTGTAATGTTGCCTCACACTTGACAAAGCCAGGGCGCACCCGGCAGTTAGATGGCATAATTATTAACTAGGCACTTAGAAATATTGACTATCTAAGGCGACTTAAAAAGAAAAAAAAACACTAACCTAGAGCGCGAAGAGACCTAAACCCTAAACCTAACACCTAAAGCCTACAGCTTAACCCTAAAAAAAAAAAAAAATTAAATTAAATTAAAAGTGCATAGTAATCATATCCAATCGCATCTACTGCCGTTGCGCCAGGCAGTCAGTGATATGTCAAGAGTTATGTAACGACCGTAACGCGCCTGACGGCCCGGGCGGACGAACGCGGGTTCAAAAAGACATCCCTTACTCGTTTTGCTGGCATCCATGAGGTTGCCGCGTTTGGTAAGAAGAACACCACCGCGGTAGAGACTTTCGACAGTCCGTTCAGGAGAACGTGACCGTAGGCAGCCTCACGCGTTTAAGCTCCGACGTCGGTGGGGGTCGTGCCGCAGACCTCACACTTCAACGCCCTCTTCTCTGTAAATAAGCCATGTGGCCAGTGTGATTAGTAGTGCACTATCACTAAGGCTAGTTGGGTGGGGGAAGAGATGTGTTTGTATTGTGGATCGCCAATGATCGCGGCCTTTTCAAACCATTATTAGCAATGATAGGTCGATAGAGTTAACGATTTTCTTACAAGTCCGTATTAAGTAATTAGACATTCGAATCGTCAACGTCCATTCCTAATTTCTCGACATGTTTAACGTTCGACAGACGTTGAAACATTGTGTTCCACTTTTCCTTGGCGAGAAAGACGTTTAGGTGTTTTATAGAACGCAAGCCAACATAAATTTCAGTTTGCAAAAACAGAAATAATAATCAATACATACTGTTCGGCGTTCAATTTTCGAAAGCGACCCTTGGCACGTCCGGGATTGAAGCCTGAAAACAAAAGGCCACAAAAACATATCTTAAAAAAATGTCAAAACTGCTGAGAAACAGATTATTCTTAACACAGTGCATTCAAAGTAGCAAACAGTAAATTAGGTTTATCGGCACGATGTCTTGTCTACAAACGTTAAGTGAGTCTGGCAAGTAATAGTGTGAGTGACCCATAGGAAGATCATCTGTTTCTTCCGTGTTTCTAAACTGCGCACTAGGGTCCCTGTAATAAGAGAGTTGCGCATACGAGCTCGAAAAAATCGGGTCACAGTGATGCGTGCCGGCAATGTTGTTTTCAAATGGTATCCACACCGCTGCCGGCTTGAGTACAGCAACTGTATGATAGCTGTACATGGCTGTAGTAATTAACTTAAATTCTAATTGCTCAATAACTCAAGAATACCAGAGATTATAGCTAAGAGCATGTGTCTAGTGAGCTTAGATTATACGAACTGCAAAACAATTTACAGCGAGGCGAGCAGAGTGAAGTGAACGCATTTCTTTGTGAATTACTAGTTTGGCGCGGTGACTCGCACAGGCTAATAATATGCACGCATTGGGCGGTAAGAAAGTGTAGCTATCATATGGCACAAACGATTTGAGTTACCAGTTTCTATAATCTCGAGCTACATCAGCGACACATTCTTAGCTAGTAATTCTTAATTTTTGATTATTGGAAGCAGGGGATGCGATTAGTCTAATTAATTACTACGGACCATGTACGCGTATCCATACAGCGTCTGTACTTAAGCGGCAGCGCGTGTTATCCATTTGGAAATCAACATGGCGTCAAAAACTGAGTTTGGAATACTCTGTATATAGGACCTAGCTCCGCACCATCCCCTTTCCAGCTCGCTCTAAACGTCCCCGGTCGTACAGATCCCCCCCCTCACTAATTCCTACGTTTCTTCTCGTGCTTCTACTTCGCCGCCTTCCCCCCCAACTCTAACATCAATGTCGCCCGTTCGTATCCCATTTCCACTTGATCCGCTGTCTTTGTCGAACCGTCAAAGACCGCGCCCCTGCCTTCCTCGTGTCGCGTCGCGATCAATTCTCGCCTGCGACGGCTGCGCTCCCGCTCACTGGCAGGCTAACCGTCGCGGTCGTACGCTCGGTCGCACCGGAGGCGCGCTGCACGAATCCGCGCCGCCCCCGCATCGCCTACGTCGTCTCGACGACGCGGGCGGCCGCTCGGGTATACGCGGCTCCGTCGTGCTGCCGGCGGTGGGGAGGCCCACCAGTGCGCGAACGCGGCCGAGCCGATCGGTTGTTTTTGTTGGATGCCAGCCGCCGGCCTGCCGACCGCGAGTGCAGCCGCGAACGAGCGACGACAGCTGCCCGTGGACGCGCCGACTTGCTCGTCGTTCGAGATGCTCTTGGTTCGTCATCGGCCACTCAATGGGTTTCTGGCGGGAGCGGGGAAGCGATTAACGGAGTTAACGACGGCACGAAAATCATCACACTCGTTCATAAACAGTGTACGTACCGTATGTATGTCGATATAGAGTAACAATGCAGACTTAGTGAAGATCCAGCATTTATTTTAACGACACGTTTTTTTTCTTGATGCGTCGAGATTCCGCTCTGATACACAAGTCTGCTCAGGTTTACTATGAGCTCCGAATGAAATGACATCACGGTGGCAATGACAACCGAGCTCACTGGTTCTACCACAATCACTATGCTCGGTAACCTTAACTGCGTGTCGTGTATTGTACCGATTGTAACCAATCATTCTGAGCAGATCATTATGCAGTTATTATAGATCTCCAAAGGATGAAGTGAAAAGCAATAAACAATAATAAAATAAAAAAAATAAAATAAAATAAATAAATAAATATTAAAATATTGTACAGATCGACCTTGCTACCGTGCTTTAGACTTCGGGCAGCGATCGCCACCGAACTCACGCACTGCACCCAGACCGCACACTGATTACAATCAAAGAACCCTGCTTATATTCATCCCGCACACCGTGACTCTAGTTCATGGTACATACCACATAATACGCAATCGCCGGAGCCTCGACGTCGAACAAGGGTTGCCTACGGTGACCGCGTAATGCGGCCACCTCCTTGCCGCAGTCGCGGGTGGCGATCTCCCGCGCCAGTAATCGGACATCATCCTCCAGGTTGCTGATTCGCCGCCGAAGCTGCGCCAGTTCGCACTTGGGATCCGTGCGTCAAAAAAGTCCTCGACCCTCCTCGCGACTAGCTTGTTCAGAAACTAGTGCAATACAAAAGAAGAAAGATGTTGGAGGAGCTGCGGAGGAGGAGGAGGGCAGGAGGAGCGAGGAGGAGGAGAAGGAAGAAGAAAAAGAAGCATGAAGAAGAGAAGAATGATGATGATGATGATGAAGTGCATGATGATGATGAAGAAGAGAAGTCAAGAAGAAAAGAAAGAAGAAGAAGAAGAAGAAGATAGAAAAGAGAAGAAGAAAGAAGAAGAAGAAGAAGAAACAGAAGAAGAAGAGGAAGACTAGAAACTACAAAGGTTTTGAGGAGCCTGCAAAGTTTAGCTCGACCACTCGTACCAATGAACGGCGAGCGATCTCGATAACTTGATGTAAATTTCATTTTCGGTGATTCAGATTCCCGAAGCGAAGTGCAGTCGTCTGCCCACCGCGCGAGATATTGCACCAGACTTTCGTTCCGTTTTCGAACACTTTAAACTCACCTCTGTACCCGCCGCCATAAAGCTCAAACTGAGTCTTCACATCACCTCTCGCGCTCTGGTTTAGTGCGCATCACCGAATCGCAGACCAGGTTGGCACGGCGACGGGATCCGGAAGGCGCACACGCATTCAACGCGCGTGTGATCGCCGGCCGCCACCTGCTGAGACAACTTCGCTCAGCTCCCCCGTCGATGGCGCGGCGTCGCTCCACAGCTCGACAACGAGCTCGCAGAACTTGCTACCTGTTGCTATGCGCATTGTCCAACACGGCTGCTACACGTCATGTCACGCATCGTGCGTCGGCCCGGTCTCTTCCTCCTCCTTTATGCAGATACGCCCATCCTGAAACACGAATTAATTTTGCAATCACAGTTGGCCGGACGGTCGTGCCAGCGGAGATGCAACCTATAGAAACCCTAGGAAGACAGGGTTATACGTACTATAAATTGGACTACGCTCACGAATATTGTCTATGGTAAAAATTTGTTAAAAATTTTTGTTGTCATTTTTTTTACAGTTAAAAGTAAGAATAACGGACAAACGTAGCGTCAAATTCTTACCCTGATAGATTGTTTCTCAACACCGATATGATCGCGTAATAATCGCAAATTTGGCCTTCTAGATTTCAACCCTGTATTTGGCTCTGGCGTTTAAGTGCTCCATA